TCAGATATTCGAAATATAGAAATTTTGGTGCATCAACAACATGAACTTCCTCAACTCGGAAAGATTAAGACAAATGCAACTGATTTTGCATTGTAATTGGAATATCATAAACAAGTATTACCACGAAAAGGAAAGAGAACCACTTACAATAAAGTCGCGTTACAGAACAAATAAAAGTGGGAACAAAGACGTAAAGCAAATAACATGAAGAAATAAAGCAAAGAAGAATGAGTTATCCATATCGATCACTCCAATATGAGCTATCCAATCTGCACAAATAACAAAGTCCAAACATAAATTTCGTAATTATATATACATGACATTATTATAAATAATTTACGGAAAAATGTACAAATATGTTACTGAACGTTGAGAAAAGGCTTATTTTTACGTCATTCGTTAAAAGTTTGACGCATCTATATCGTTTGCATTTGACAAACGATTTCATTATTTATTAACTAAGAACGGTTGCAAAATCACTTTTTACACGTAGTTAACTATGATTCAGCCACGTCACTGATTAAATTATTTTTTAAAAAAAAAGAGAATACTTTCAAAAAAGATTTATCTATATATCATTTGTTTTAAGTATTAATAGGAACGAACTATCAAACATTATTTGTGTATTTAATGAAGGAAGTATCAAGCCAGGTAGCGCGTTTTCAATGTTTGATGGCAGTAGTATGTTGAATCCATCTGCTGCTGTGGATATATATAACCGTTCCTGGCTTAAATAGTCACTTGCTTTTTAACAAATACTCAGTTTCAAATTCAAATGAACCCACTTACTCCAAGTAGTTGCAGATTGAAGATGCATATAAAAGTTTGTTATTGTTCAAGTTAATAGAGAGCTTCCCCTTGCATATAAAAAAAATAACCATCAACAGTACTACCTGTTATTCAGTTTGAACATGTACACCAATGCTGAGTTATTTCAGAAAACAAAAACCCAACACAACCACAGCGAGAACGAATATCAAAAACTGGAAACTGAAAAAAGGATGCATCTCCATAAAAAAGTACTCATATTTGATGTATTAATCCAAAGTAAAATCGGCAAAACTTTGATCCCAAAAGTAAACACATGCTTGCACTGCCATCGGAGGATTTATAGGAACTATAGATCTCCAAAAGGCGGGACAAGGAAGTTCAAATGCAAACAATACAAAAATACCCTAACAAACTTTTTGCAAGTGTCCAGATTCCGAATTCTAAAGAGAAGCATAAAGCATTATAAAGGAATTTGCATGTAGACGATTTATCTCTTCTTGGAGACACCAACAGTCTTTCCCCTGCGACCAGTGGTCTTTGTGTGCTGACCGCGAACACGGAGGCCCCAGTAGTGACGCAAACCACGGTGATTCCTGTCAGCAACAGAAATAATCAATATATAAGAAAAAAGGGGTGAAGATGTTCGTAGCAAAAGCATATGGCTTGATAACACACCTGATCTTCTTCAGCCTTTCCAAGTCATCCCTAAGTTTCATGTCAAGGGCATTAGATGTAACTTGGGAAAACTTGCCATCCTTGTAATCCTTCTGCCTGTTCAAAAACCAATCTGGGATTTTGAATTGGCGAGGATTAGCCACAACTACCATCAAGCTGTCAAGCTCTGCAGCAGTAAGTTCACCAGCCCTACAGAAGACAGCAGATAAACAAATTTAGATAACCTTACAACAAGGCTAAAATATAGAGCTGGAAAAAGAGCACATGGACACTAAATACAAAAACCTGTAGCTACGTAATCACTTAATCTCACCCACAACATGAACTACAAATAAAATAACTACCAAATTTTGTCACTTGGTTTTGTTCTTTCTCGTTAGAACACCAAAAACACAGATCATTAGAAGATTATCCTAACTGGAAATTTATGTGGTCAAGAGTAGCACCAGATTCATACCGACATGAATACAAATATAGGAATTTGAAAACTGTTCCTCTAGAGAAAAGTAATTTAGTTGAGTGTTATTTGGTAATCAAGTGGACACTCTATTTGAAGAGATGCAAATGAAGAAATATAAATATATATCTGTTCCATGATAAGCGGAGGACACAAAAATCAAGTATACAGAACAGCAGATTGGAAAAAAACTGTAATTAAGTATAATATATAGAGTCAAAACAACAGAATATATACAGTAAATCGAGGGGAAAAGGACATTTGATGTTTTTAATTCAGGTGGAACTAAGGCCGGTTGGATTGACTTAAAATAAAGTGCACTTAAGCTCAAATAGCCTTAAAGCACTTCCGTGGTCTTTGGGCAAAACAAAAGAAGTATTTTTAAGCCAATCCAAACAGCAGTAGCCAAGTATTTCATACCCACACATACAAAGTTAGAAACCCTCCCCAAATGGGTCACCCTCCTAAGCTCGAACTCTGACATAGTAAAATAACTACCTAACATAGACGAATGTCTAATTCACATTTATATAATGACCACCATTTCTATCCATTTATTTCATTTTTGATAGTGCTTAGGTTAGTATATGGTAATAGTCTATACCAATATTTCAAATTAACCCCAATATCATATACTATATCCTATCCTAACAACAATTGGTCACTCTTAACTTCCTTGTCTCGCCCATTTAGTCTCTACATCACATCTTCATTTTGTTGGTTTTTTTTATATTTGTCTTGTGCAGGTCAGCTTGGGCACATCCCAACTAATTCCATGCATACTTATTATACTTATCACCGTCCACCAGCCCCAAATAACAAGTAACTCTGTGCATCAAAGCTAGAACAAATGGAAGAAATCACCTAGTATTTTTGTCCATGCTAGGATTTGAGCACGAGAAATCAACTAATATTTCTGGTTAGGCCAGGATTTGACCACGAGATCTCATAGTTCTCGACACACTTATTGACAACTAGGCCTTCCTACGCCTCAGTCTCATACTTGTTGAAGTCAATATTCTCAAATTAACTACAACTTCAAATGAGCTTTTGCTTCCATCAAATTATTTTCTGTACTATGCAACAACGATTCCAACTGAAAATATTATAATCAAACAATGTTTGACAGTGAACTCTAGAGTGAAAACTATTACATATCTTCCCTTTTTATTGGTGCACTCATGTTCACAAAATGATAGATTCGACTGTCTACAAATACAAGTAAAAAAAATTACAATAAACTACGTAGAAAGGTTATCAATAAGCTGGATCTAATCAAACAATAACAACAATACGCTTAAATGAAATGAAAAAAAATCACCTCTTGTTCATATCGATATCGGCTTTTTTGCAAGCAATGTTAGCAAAACGGCGACCGATACCTTTGATAGAGGTCATAGCGAACATGATCTTCTGCTTTCCATCAACATTTGTGTTTTGCACACGAAGAATGTGCTGAAAATCTTCGTTCGCAACCAGAGACTATATACATATTAAAATCAAAACAACAAAATAAAAAAAAAACGAATAAATAAGCAAAAAAATCACAATTCCAGTTCACTAGAGATAGATTTGTACAGAAATAAGCGTCGTTGAGAACACATACCATGGCTAGGGTTTCACTGTGTTACACTGCGGCTGCTGCTTTTGTTTTGGAAGAGATGCCAAGCTCTTAGAAAACCCTAAATACGGAGAAGTGTAAAATAAAAATGCAATGATGGATAAATATTAAGGATAAGGGTAATTTGGTAAAACAATGAGAAAGTTTTATTAAATTCTAAAAAACACATATTAAAAAAAAATTGTACCACAAACTAAAAAAATATTTTAAAATAACATAAATTACAACTAAAAAGTTTCTCATGCTCTAAAAATAAATGAATAATGACATAAATTATGAAATGTGTACCTTTAAATATGAATTTCGAATAAAAAAAATTCATAATTCTCATCAAAGTGTTATGTTTTTTTGTTTTTTTACGATAGAGGCATATGTAAAAGGATCGTGGTCATTTTTTTTTCTCTACGTGAGAGTAAAAAACATATGAAAATTTTTTGTGATTCTAAAAGAACAAATATTTTTCTCGTAGAATTGTTATTTATTTCAAGATGTACTAATGTTTGATTACAATTATTCCTATGAGATTTGATTTGTGACGACATAATCAAAGATAAATTTAATTACATTTTAAATTAGTTTGGATTAATTATAAAATTTATACATCATCGCAGTTACTATTCTTTGAATCTTCATAACATAAAAAATTATAATAGCCCACAAATCATATAGAAACGATACACTATACTAAGCAAGCTTTGGTGAAACAAATTTATTTAAAAAGATATTATCATAAATAAAGAATATTAAATTTAAAACCTTTATTAAAATATTTCAATTCAAATCATACTTTAAGAGTTGTAAATCAAAAAAATTATTAACAGACCTAGTAAGTAGTTGCTACATTCAATAGTTTAGATCTAAATAATTAAAATATAAGTAGACACTAGCACTAGTTTGGATGGTTATTTTCTCGTTCTATTGTATTATATTGTTAGTTTAACTATAATATTTATTTTGATTGATATTTAAATTTATTGTATTGTATCGTTTGAATCCATTATTACATAACGACGAAAAAACTCATTTCATATAATAATCGATTTGGTGTGATCATATTATTACCTTAATATTTTCTTCTCATTTTATCTTTATTATTATTTAATAAATCTAGCATGACCCTAATTTTCTTGAAAATTTAATCATTCAAATTATGCACATACATTATGCAAATAACAAAAAAATAATATAATCTATCCAATATTATATTCATTAAAACACTATTACAATACAAACAATATCTAACCAATGAAACATGAGTTTGTTTTTATAATTAATACTCTTAAATTTCTTTTTTTTAAATAAATTTTCTACCTCTACCTGAGTTTGGTTTTATAATTAATACTAATAACCTACTATAATATGATAATATATAGTTATTGAAATTAATCCTCTACAAAAATGAAAATGATTATGAAGTAAAATAAGACCATTTTGGAAGAAAATTGGGACAGCAATGAAAACATTGAACTTGTATTGGCAGGGGCCGCACGAACGCATGCCCCTCAGCAACAAATTATGATGTAGACTCAACTTCTTGGGCTGATCTTAGGCGGGCACCCCTCCAAAGTGCAATGGAAGTCACCAACCTAGGCCATGGACCTACATGATCGCCCATAAACCCCGTCCAGGTAAGTATGTATCTTGTTCCTCCTTGGCTCAAAGTTATACTCACTTTACTAGTTTATCCATTTTTTCCCCTTGGTGATGTGGGACAAATTTTAAGATTTTTCACCAGACTTTATCCTTGGTCAATGATCATAGTAATGAATTAAAATAAGAGTTGCTAAGCCATTAAAACTGTCTTTAATCTATGAACTATGAATCAAGATAAGATATTATTCAACAAAACATGAACTTTAAAAAAATCAAATAGTTAGCTTTTCTTTGTATCACATAATCTATAATTTACTACTCTCTCTTTTTCTTTTATTAGTCCTTTATTTATTTAGCATTAACTTGCACTTTGAAAATGCACACACAAAAATGATAGAATATGTAGAAAATGGCATTGTTTAAACATCCAGATATAATAATGCATGATTCATCTAGATTTGTTATTTCTGAGAGAAGTATTGATTTAATCATCATTTTGTAAAAATTACTTTTAAACTAAGGCGACACATTCTTGTAGCATAATATTATGGTGCAAGCCTCCATCATTGCTCATAAAGTATTTTGATTCACCTTCCAATGTTCTAACTTTGGTGTAAATATAGTTTGTTGCAATGATGAACCTCAATAGTCGATCGAGCTCCTCGTCTCCTTAAATTATGTAGCTTATGATACTCGAAACGTCCTCTTGGGTATATGCGTTGATTGATCACTTTCGCTTTTGCCTCATGCATGATCTCACTAAACTTACACTATACATACGTCATTTTAGTTTTACTTAACCTGGAAATTTTAGTCTTTAGGATTTGTCTAACAATATTCCATCTGCAAATGACATACACCACTACACGATTCCTTTGAATATATATATGTCACGTCAATTCATTCATCACTAAAACAAGTAGGGACGGGCTAAGGCTTGACCCTTAGTGCAACTTCATTGTAACCGAAGAGTATTTGGAATCATCTTTCATTGTTTCAAACCCAGAGTCTCCATCATCGATACAATTCTAACTTTCAAACATTTTTTGAGAAATTTATCATAAGTCTTTTTAGATCATTGAACACCATATGTAAGTTGCTCAAGTTTCTCTTCTATTAATGACTTTTAAAAATCAACACACCCGTCTTGATTCTCATTTTCAACATTGTCTACTTAACTACCATTTTGTATGTATTCTCAATCTTTTAATCAACCTAATAAAGTGTAACAAGTATTGGCATCAACCTAATAAAGTTAAACTAATATTGGCAAGGGCCGCGCGAACGCAGGCCCCCTCAGCAACAAATTATGACGTAGATTCGGCCACTTGGGCCGATCTTAGGTAGGCACCTCTCCTAAGTGCAATGGAGGTTACCAACCTAGGCCATGGACCTTCATGATCGCCAATTGACCCCGTCCAGGTAAGTAAGTTTTAGTTCCTCCTAGGCCCAAGTTTATATTCACCTACTTTATCCGTTCTCTTCGTATTGGCGATATGGGATATAATTACTATGCTTTATTTATAGTAAAGTTTTGTTTCAAACTTATCACATTGGCTACAGATTTATGATAAGAGTTGGACAGCTATTAATTTGTAACACACTGTTATATTTATCATGTTATTGTTACTAATTACTAGGCTAAAATTTAGAATGTACTTTGTATTTACGTTAATTACACTTATTTGCTGTGAATAAATCATAAATCAAAATGTTGAAATGTTTGTATTGTTTGTAGTAAAACTATCGTTGGTTCATTTTAACAAAATGAAAAAGTTGTCGCGAGAAAAATATAGTAATGACTAATGTACTTGAATTGTTTTTGTTTATATGACCTAAATAATTTTTCTTTTCAAATAACATACGATGTTACACTAATTTTTTTTTTCACTTCTTTAAATTATGACAATTTTTAATATCCGTTGCTAAATAAGAGTATATACATAAGAATCGTTGGCAAAATATCATAAATTACAATTGGAATAAAATGAATAGATAAATATATTTGCATATATTTCAATCCGTGTAATAAGATTCAAGCCTACGTACAATATATTTTTCGTCAATTCAACAATAATATCATACAATATCACAAAAAATGGATTAGTTAAACAATCCAAAACTCCATTAAAGAACATGTTACTTCAACATAAAAGTACTCTCTTTTTTATTGTGGGTAAATTAACGACTTCAAATATTTTTTTATTCATTTTGATCTCGTTAATCACATCAAATTATAAAAACAATAGAATATTTTTATTGATGAACTTTCACATATAGTCACTCAAAAATAGCCTAATTACTTTCCATAACTATAGTTTGATAATTCTAATTCGTAGCTACATGTTATAAGGAGGAGAGAGGCGAGCGAGACTGGGAGAGAGAGGGAAGAGGCGAGCAAGAGAGGCCAAAGAATGGGAGAGAGGTGAATTGTATATGTATATCGGTTAAATAATTGTATATTATACATATGTATTTGTATATATGGCAAGCGAGGTTGGGATAGGGATGAGAGAGGAGAGAGAGATTGGGAGAGGGGAGAGAGAGGCGAGCGAGAGAGGACAGAGAGTGGGAGAGAAGTCAATTGTATATGTATATCGGTTAGACAATGATATATTATACTTTTACATTTGTATATATGGAAAACAAGGTTGGGAGATGGAGGAGAGAGGCGAGCGAGATTGGGAGAGGGCAGATAGTGGAAGAGAGGTCAATTGTGTATGTATATCAATTAGATGATTGTATATACACACATTTATTTGTATATTCTAGCGAATTATATACAAATGTGGCTAATTATACAAACTAGAAGGTAACTCACATGATTAATGCATAATGTTAGTCGCTAGTGATAATTATAACACACTATAGCTATGATGAGCAATTAAGTAGCATAAGTTTGCCTAACCACGTAATTTTCCCAATTAATATGATATAATACTGTTATGAGCAACTTTCACATATATCAAACACGAAAGTTATATTTGTACGCTATAACTATAGTTTGTATAATTGCGCTTCATGACAAACTTTATGTTTGCTATTGTTATTTCGCTATACATATATACGAAAGAAGCTGGCTATTTCGCTATATATATATATATATATTGTATAATCTATTTCGGTATACATATATAAAAGAATCAATTGTATAATTTGTGTTTGTATAAAGCGTGAAAGTGAGAAAGACAAAAGAAAACTGAATATAAGAAGATCGTATTTGTATAATCATAAGTGTATAAAACGAAAATATATGCATTTATATTTATATATACATTTTCTCTTGCTTTATACAAACACAAGCACAACGTATACATTTGTATTTGTACAAAGCAAGAGAGGCTAGTGAGAGTGGCGAGTGAGATCTAGGAGAGGAGAACAAAAATCTATGTATATATATATATACAATTTTCTTTCCCTTTATACAAATACAAACACATTTTCTATTTGTATTTGTACAAAAGCGAGAGAGATGAGCGAGAACGAGAATGGCGAGTGAAATTCCACCGAAGACATATATAAAAATAGTAACAATTTACTACGAGGTACAATTAAATGAAACTATATTTTTAACATTTAATTCAAATTAATAGTTTGTTTATACTTACAATTTTTATTTCATAGTTGTATAGTCTCGGATCTATATAAAGTCCAACAAGAAGAAACAGTTTTGGCGCGAATAATTGAAAGCCCCTTTTCAACATCCCCGCCATTAAAGAGAACAGAAAAAAAGCAGCTCAGCAAAGATAGAGAGTAAAGCAAAAAAGCCCTAAATTCTCACAATTTCGAATTCTACAGCAATAGATCATCAATTGAATGGGCAAAAACGATAGCCAGAACCAGCTAATTGAGGCGAAGAGAGCTTACAAGAGCGCAAAAGCAGAGGGGAACAGAAAGGAGGAGGCGAGATGGGCAAATTTGATCGGCGACATGCTAAAGAACCGCGGAGAGTATGTAGAGGCGCTTCGTTGGCTCCGAATCGACTACGAAATATCACTCAACTACTTGCCTGAGAAGCAGCTTCTTCCGTCATGTCAATCCCTTGGTGAAGTCTATCTCCGCCTTCAGGACTACGAACACGCCCTCACTTTCCAGGTAAATGTGCTTAATGATTATATATAGCTTAGCTGGTTGTAGAAAGTTATTTAGCATTACTTGAAATGTTGAGCATAACCTTTACAATTTAACTAGAGGAATATAACTTCATTTTATTTTTTGTGATATCTATTTGACAAAAAGTTCAGAAATTTAATGGGCAACAGAATCGATAGGTGAATTTGCAATGAGCTGATTGTGCAATATTTTAGTGGCACACAGAATTTAAACTGATTAGAAAGAAATGTAATTTTTAATTTGAGAAACATTGTTAAGATTGATTATCTATGTAGATGTCTAATTGGTTTCTTTGGGGATGCCTGCTATTAACTAGAAGCAGATGCATTAGCTGCAAGCCACATAAGAATATTTGGGTTGCTGAGGATGAAGTGTTAAGGGCATAAATCATTGTACTTCTGTAGATGACTTCAATAAACACAATTCAAATGGTTGAGAATTTGTGACCTAGTTGTCAATGAAGTGGGTTGAGCAACACGGGGTCTCAGGTTCAAATCTCATCAGTGATAAAACATTTGGTGATTTCTTCTCATCTATTCTCGCCTTGGTGGACTGTTGAGAGGTGGCAGGTATCTCATGGAGCTAGTAGAGGTGCACACGATTTAGCCTGGATACCATGGTTATCAAAAATAAGTGGAAGAAAAATGGCATAGAATAAAGGCCATAGCTAGGGGAACCCAAGATGGATTTGTTGGTTGTACAATTGGTCTAAGGGTCAAATCTTAGCAGAGTGTGGGTGTAGGTCCAACTTTTATGCTAATGTTCATTTTTTTAGTACGCTAGACATGTTAGATTGCATCAAGTTATTGTCTGTTGAAAAGAGAAGTTCTTGAAATTTGCTTTAATTTTATTTTGCATGGGAACTTCTCTAAGTCTTGAACTAAAAAGCGCACTAAATGGCGATGCAATATGCTTTAATTAATTGTACATTTGTGACGTTATAGTTTGTAATGCTAATGACATTTAAGTGGGCTTAAGATCTAATATCTTTTTTCGCTTTATATAATCAGTTACCTAGTTAAGGATTATTTTCTTGTTTCCTCAATATTGGTGGGTAATGGAAACAAAACTAAAGTTTGGAAAGATGGCTGGATAGACCAATCCTCTCTTAGGGAACTTTTCCAGATTTGTTTCTAATCTGTGAGAACCCTGATGCTAAAGTGAGTGCCTGTTGGACAAAACAGGGATGGGACATATCTTTAAGAAGACTACTTAATAACTGGGAGGTGGAGAGGGTGGCAGCGCTATTGGGAAAACTAGCTGGAATGATTATAACCATAATATTAACAGACAAGATCCTGTGGAAACTGGAAACATAGTAAGGCTGGAGTCTTTTGTATCAACAATGCCTACAAAAGAGGACTACAGGGGATGACACAGGGCCCAAACTATAATGGGAGTCACTTTTGTAAGAGTGACATTCTTACAAAAGTAAATTGTTTCACCCGGTTAGTGATAGACAAAGTATGTTTAACACAAGAAGTTCTACAGAAGAAAAGCAGACAACTGGTCCCTTGGTGTTTTTTGTGCAACTTGACAAGGGAAACAAATAACCGTCTCTTCCTGCATTGTAAGTTTGCTGCTCAAATTTGGAACCCGTTTCTCAACATCACAAGCATGAACTGGACAATGCCAGAACATACATCAGATATGTTGAGCTGCTGGATTAGGAGGGGAGGTAGTAAGAGTCAAAAGAGATGGTGGAAGCTGATACCATCATGTGTATGGTGATCAGACTGGAAAGAAAAAAATGGAAGAGGTTTTGAAGATAGATCCAATTCCATCCACAAAGTTAAATGGAATTGTGTAGTATCTTTACTTTTTTGGTGTAAACAACTTTATATAGATGATATGGATCAAATTATACATTTGATAGGAAATCTATAATTATCCCTTGGAGGTAGCCAACATACCCTTAGTGTTGAAGAATTCAACCTTACCAATTTCAAAAAAAAAAAGGTTTCCTTAATATTGGTCCATATGCAAATATATGAGTGGTACTGATTTTGTCATATCGTGTTCTTTTCCTGTATGGTTGGGCCTTATCTTTAGTATTAAAATCTAATCCAAGCATTTACATTCACTTGTTGACTCAGAACTCGATTGTCTGTCACTCTATGTCTGACATACATTTAGGATTTCAAGATGCTATTGGAATTATTTGATTCTTTTCAGTATATAATCGGGCAACATTGTCATTTGTCATCTTCGTAGGCATCCAATTTTATTCTCATGATATGCATAGTGCTCTGTTTGTGCTTTTGGGATGCTGGACTGATTTCTCTCCTGCCTCTCTAATATTCATATTCGGTGAACC